ATAAACACAACCACTTCTGGGTAAAGTATATCAGCCAACTTATGGGGGCACACTCTCTTTAGAGTAGTCTAATGATATGGGGGGATCTAAGAATATGCTTGATGGAAGACATGCAGAGCACTGGAGACTGCAATGAGTCAGTCAATGGAAGTTGGCTAAGAAAGCTTCTATTACACAATCTTCTTACTCTGATTATCAGACTACTCAGCACTCTGTATCCACTTTAACTGCTTTTATTTCCACTTCTATTTGACAGAACCCTTCTTTCAATTACATGTGCTCTCTTCCTCCTTTTGCTTTTACCAGGCTCATCCTATTCACCTGAAAATGCTCCTTTTTCTTTCTGCCTATGGAAATTTTACCATCCTACAGTCCCAGCATAAAGATTTCTTTTAACTAGCCAGGCCTGGTGGCATGTACCTGTAGCCTGGAAGACTGAGGAGGGAGAATCACTTAAGCCCAGGAGTTTAGGGCAGCCTAGGCAACACAGGAAGATTCCCTCTTCAGAAAAAAAAGAGAGAGCGAGCGAGCCAGCCTAGGATTCATTATCTCCCTTTCCTGTGAGCTTATATTACTTATAGCCTATATTACAAAATTTATCCCCTTATTATGTGGTAATCCTTTTTATCCCCTTTTTCCTGCTTTAATTTTCCCCTTTCTGCTGGATTATTCCTATTATAACACAAATATGTTCTAGTATTTTCTAACATGTTTTAAAATATCTAAAACCTACATACTTAGGTACCACAGTATTTTTTATTTCTCCCTTCATACCCATATTTCTTGAAACAGTTGCCTACTCCTGTTATTTCTATTTCCTTATTTCTTACATACTTTAGTTCTAACTCATTACAGTGTGGGCTTCATCCTCATCAAGTCTTTCATCAAGATCAATAACAACCTCTATATTGTCCAATCCAATGATTTCTATGTTCTCTTATTTGATTTCTCAGTGCCATCTGACAGATGAGTGTTTCTTCTTTCTAGAAACTTCCTCTGGCCTTTTAGGACTTACTTCCTTATTTTTCTCCCCCCACCTTGCCCCCTGCCCACCCACTGCCTGACAATCTCAGCTTCCTTTCTCTAGTCATCCTCTAATATACCTCTTGATATTTTTTTCAAGGATCCATCTCACTTTTCTCTTCCCTAAGAGTTAGAAGTTTGCCAAAAGGAAAAGAATCAACTTCTAAGAAAGCTTTAGAAATTCTAGTAGTGTTTTGGGGGAAACAATAGTAGTAGTTAATGAGAAAGGACTAGAGATAGAAGGAGTCCTACAAGGCAAAAGTTACAACAATGAAGATTTGTCCCATGTCATGACATTTAAATGTCCCACCACATAGGCACATGACTAAGAAATCTACCTAGAACTTAACTCAGTTTTACAGATCAAAGTATAGTTTTAGAAACTAAAGCCATCATATAATCAAGAGACACCTCTGGTTCTTCTCCATGAGTTGAGTATTTTGGAAAATCAGATAACCAGTAGCAATGAAGATCTATGAGATGCCAGAACTACACCTCTGCCTCACTCCACGAAGGGCAGTCATTTGATTTTACACATAAGTAAGGCAATCTCCATCGAATGTTCCAGCTCTATTTTCTCCAGGGCACACTCTTACCATCTAGCATACTGCATCTTTTACTTATATTTTTTATGCACTTCCCCCTCCCACGAAAAGGTAAGTTCTATGAGCAAAGTAGTTTTCACTTTATTTACTGCCCACTACAGTGTCTGATGCATACAAGGGTTCAATAAATATCCACTGACTCAATCTGATTACTTCCTGTTTTCTATTATGCTTATGGACAAATATTTCAATATTGAAATCATTAAAAAATACCTTTATTTCTCTGTCATACTATGATAGAAGCACTGCATTGATTTTTTTATTATGAGCACAGATAAATTATATTAGCTATGAAAATCATGCCAGAATATTAAGAGTAGACATCAAAATATCTATTATATTAAGGGGGTACTAAGTCTCAAAGGTTGAGAAACACTTTTAACCAGGACCTCTCTTTAGAATACCAGAGTAACAAATCCAATTGCCTCCTTTACAATCACAAAGAAAGGTCCTAAAGACAATCCCACTCTAACATGCCCAAATGGAAACTGATTATCTCCAATATGTCTCTATCATCCCTGCAGCATCTCAAAATATTACCCCACTGACTCCAGAAAGCTAGGAATCATATTTCAATCTTCCTTTCCTTTCTCCATGACTCCAATCTATCAACAACTTCTCTAGTCTACTTTCAAAATATATCTGGAATTTATCCACTTCTCTCCACTACCAAAACATTACCTTGTTATTTGAACTATTTCAGAATCTCACAGCGAGGTGCCTGCCTCCACTGTTTTCCCTTCAATCCATTCCCTACATAGCAAAAAAAGGCTCGCTTAACTGCTTCTGATTGAAATTAGAATAAAATTCCAAGCCTGGTGTGTGGCATAGGCCTGTAATTTCAGCAACTCTGAAGCTAGGCAGAAGGATCACAAGTTCAAGGCTAGCCTCTGCAACTTAGTGAGATTCTATCAAAATAAAAGGGCTAGAAATGTGGTAGAGTGCCGCTGTTTCACTTCCCAGTACCACAAAAGAACATAAAATAAAATTCCAAATCCTAATCATGGCTACTTGACCAACTTTCCAACTTTATCTTATACCATTCTCCCCTTTACTCACAACATGACTGCCATAAACATGCTCCTTCACTTCCTACAACACACCAGTCTCCTCAGTGTCCTCCCTCTTCTGGGACTCTTTTTTCCTCCTTTTCCAGCTTCTCTTCTGTCCCCTTGCCTTATGCTTATGCTTACACACACGCACTCCCGTTGGCTCCTTTTCATTCAATCGGTCTTTGCTTGCCTGACACTCAGACTGATTTTATTCAACCTAAGGTAAATGTTCCCTATTATTCCCTTTTTATTGTTTCTTTACGGTACTCACCACAGTTTATAATCATATATTTAATAATTTCTTTGCTTTTTAAATGTCTGTCTCAGTCACAAAAATAAGTCCCTTAAAAGCAAGAAAAAAGTCTGTCTTGTTCACTGTCATATATCAGCTAGACCAGTAAGGATCACAGGGACTAGCAAATTGCTGACACTTAACAACTATTTATTGAACAATGAAATTAATGAGTCACCCTTGAACCTGATCTCCCCCCTCACCAGCAAAATCCAGTTTTCAAGGCCTAAGAATTTTAATCTCAAAAATATTCTCAAATCTTTACTAATCTATTCCCATTTCCACATATTGCCTTGACAATTTTACCATCTTCTTAACTGCTTTTCCTGCTTCACATCGGTCCAGTACATCAAGGACCTATCAGGCTAGGAATAGAGCTCTGTGACATAGCACTCGCCTAGCATGCACGAGGCCCTGGGTTTCATCCCCAGCACCATAAATAATAAATCAATAAATTCAGGTAATCCCCAAAAGAAACAACCTAATACAAATATAATCTTTTATTTCCACTGAAAAAGCTCCCCTGGCTTACCACTGCCTATTTATAAAGGAAAAATATCATAGGAAATTAGATTTGACTCAAACCTACCAGCCCAGCCTCAAACCCTCAAACTCACATACCCCTTTTATTCCAGACACATCTCAAATTAAGATGGTTCCCTGAATATACCAGGTGTCACATTCTTGTCTTTGTATTCCTTCTGTACAGTAAAAATTCTGGGTGTCCCTCAAGGCCCAATTCAAGTGTTGCTTCAAATGTCAGTTCCTTACAAGTTTTCCTAAACCTTCAGAGACAGAATTAAGTTGCCATATTTGAATTTAACACTCTTCATCTTGCGTGGAGAGGCAGTAATAGCGTAGTGGTTAGGAGAAATGATTGCCAGGCTATGGAGATTTACAAGCTAAGTAATCTTATGCAATATATTATCATCCCTGGGCCTCAGTTACCTTATCTGTAATATGGGATAATAATTAAAAAGTACTTAGCACAGATATGGCAATAATGAAATACAATTCATGTTACCTATTAGTTACTAAAATGTGTGGAAAAAGTATGCTTTGGTTATCTGTGTATCCCTATTACCTAACATCTAGCCAAAAGCATACAGAATTTTTTCAAATGAATATGAAGTTGGGATTAAGAATTACCATGACAAGTAGAGGTAAACTACAGTGGTGAGAGAACATTTAAGGAATACAAAAAATATTTTATATTGAGATGAAATCAGGCTGTATATTATCATGTATCTATTAACTTTAAGCATTAATAGCCTAAACGATTATTGCTGTAATCCTTTGGCTCATCACGTCGACTTTTATTGCAATATTTTCTTGGCTTCTTTCAGCCTCTGGTTTATTACTTTCCAGGCTGTACACCTGCACTAATTTGCATGACTTTTAAACTAATCATTAGATTTAAAAAGCAATTTTGTAATTTAAATCCATAGCACTTAATGACTTCCTACCTCAAGGCACTAAATTTACACTTGAAACAGCTCGTCAGACCTACCAGTCTATACAAGAGAGAAAGTGTTCCAGTTGTGTTTGGAACTTACACTGATAGTTCTGAAAATGTCAGGCTAAAGGTGGATATTCTACAATGTAGGATAGGACTCGGAATGCCCATAAAGGGCTGTAAGTACATTCTCACGCAGAGGTCCATCACACAGGCGCCAAAAGTCATCCTTCCCCTAGAGAAGGACGTGCTTGTGTTTCCGTGGCCGCGCGGCCACGCCTTGGGATCTGTGCTGACTGGCAGGTGGCCTGTTGTGAGTCCAGACATTAGGGTCACCCGGCATGCAGAGCAGTATGAACCTCTCCGCGCGGCGGGGTGTACCGCGGACTGCGGCCAGCCATGCACCCATCACATGGGCTTCGGCCTCGGCGGACATCCCTCTAGGGAGGTCTGGACAAGCACGACAGCAGGGCAGTGGAAAGGGAATGGGCTGAGGGGTTGGGAGCAGGTGGGTAGAGCCTTCACTGGGCTTGGCGTTCTCTGGTTTTTGAGGGGCAAGACCTTGCACCAACCTCCACGAAGGCATCAGTCAGGTCACTAGCACGGTCCATCACTGGCAAATGGCGCCCGGCCACGATTTTCACCTTCAGCTTCCCAGGCATCGTCTCGGCTTCGGCCTCTCCTTGGGCTCCTGCAGAAACAAACAAGCGAGCCTGCGCCGAGAGCCCGGCGGGCGGGGGAGGGGCGCGGGCGTGTGGGGAGCGGCGCGCGCGCCGGCGGGAACGCGCGGGGCAACTGACAGCAGAGGGCGCGCGGAGGCGCGCACGGGTACCGCGCCGCCGCGCTGCACTCACTGTGGGACAGAAAACGGGGTTGTGTCGCGCGGGCGCTGAGGCCTCTTTCCGGAGAGGTAGTCAGAGAGAGGACCTTGGTGGATTCTGCCGGTCTGGTACAACAGTGCTGGGAAAAGAAGAAGCTAAACCCAGTCAGCATCCCGTTGAGCCTGTGCGGCACCTACAAGTATTTCTCCTGCCATTCCCCCCTCCCCCGCCCAAAAAAAAAAAAAAAAAAAAAGATGGCGGCTCTCGGAGCGTGGAGGCAGCATCGATCTTTCGGCGCTCTGCCCGCTTGGCGGAGGAGAAATTAAAATTCGCCAGGAAAAGATTAAGGGGGCGGGACTGACGTCGAGGAAGCGGGAGGGCAGGGAAACGGGTCGAGTCCTGCATCATTCACCGAGTCGCGCGTCGCGTTGTGTGGGGTGCCGCGCTGCTAACCGGCAGAGAACCCCGCGTCCTCCAGTGAGCGGCGGCTTGGCAAGCCATAAGCGCCTCTTTCTGGAAGGGCTGTGACAGACTTAGCTGCAGTGAAGATTGCTAGAGGAGCCTGCCTTTAAACACCCGTTAGTGGTTGGTAAAACCAATCTAGCTGGTTCCTACGTGGAAGGCGTACAGGTGCCTGTGATTAGATTCAGTTTTCTGTGAAATAAAGAAATATCAGGTAGTATTGTTTCCCGAAATGTTTGGTTCAGCCATCCGCGCTTGTACTGTGTACTGGATCATAGATGTTACCTTGGGCGAGGAATGGGAAGGGAACACTCTAAAATCCAGAGTCCCTGAAAAGACCCCTGCAGGCATAGATCATCTCAGTGTGGTTATCAAGAACCTAGGAGCGGAAAGGGAAGACCTGCCTTGGGAAAGTACAGTCAACTGTACTTGGGTTCATGAGAAATGAACCCGAAGAGCCATTACATCTTTCAGAATTGACCCAATTACATATACGTGAACGTACTAAAGTGACGTATTATTTATAGGTCCAGAGGATCAGAAAACGATAAGGGAAATTGAGGCACAGGAACCAGATAATAAAATCACTTCATACCAAATAACAAAACCAGCATTAACAATATACTTCATATCAAATGCCCAAATCAGTGTTAAAAATGCTTGTGGAAAGATATATAACACAGGAATCATCAGGAACTAACATTTTCTAAATGAAGATATCAGCAGCATAATTTTTTTTTTTTTTTTGCCTCGCAGGCCCCCCTACGCTGGGGTTGAATCCAGGTCCGTGCAAGTGCTAGACAGCTAGGTAAGCATTCTACCACTGAACTATACCCCCATGATCTTTTTAACTTCAAAAATACTCAACTGGCGTGGTGGCGAGTTTATGTAATCTTAGCGACTCAAGAGCCTGAGGCTAGAGGATCACAAGTTCGAGGCCAGCCTTAGCAAGTTCGTGAGGCCCTACTCAACTTAGTGAGACCCTGACTCAAAAAATAAAAAGGGCTGGGGATGTGGTTCAGTGGTAGAGTGCCTCTGGGTTCTATCCTCAGTACCCAAAAAAGAAAGAAAAATGTTCTATAGAGTTCTGCACTCCAAGCATTAGTAACCCAGAAATGTTTTCAAGACAGAAATTGCTCCTACAGAAGGAATACTGTTAACATGAGTGAGAAGTTGAACTATCTCAAAGAGAAAAACAACTTGCTCAAAATAAAAATCTAAAGGATAGGGCTGGGGTTGTGGCTCACTGGTGGTGGAGCATTCGCCTTGCACATGGGAGACCCTGAGTTCGATGCTCAGCACCACATAAAAATAAGTAAGTAAAAATAAAGGTATTGTGTCCAACTACAACTAAAAAATAAATATTTTTTTAAAAAATCTAAAGGATAAATTATTGATTTTGTAGTATGAAACCTTTGTCCATTCAAACTATTACAAAAAGATAAGAGGCCCCAATTTTCTTGCAAATTTCCCTAGATCCAACTGTAGCTTTTGCTGCATTCTGACTACCCTTAAAATGCCTCTGCCAAATGCAAAAAATTGGCCTGCCCTATGTGATCAGTGTTTGTTGTTTTTGTGGTAGGGTACAATTTTTTTTCCCTTGAGATTGGGGGTGGAATGAACCCAGGGCCTCACACATGCTAGGCTACACTACTACATCCCTAACCCATGAACTAGCTTTTTCTAATATAATGAAATCATAGAATCATCATGTTACTAGTTCATTTTTTAAAAACATAGGGAAAAATATAAGAAAACTGAAGTTTAGCAATAATCTTATGGAAAATAATGCACTGTATTACAAGATGTTGTAATGTAAAATATATTTGCAAATTGCACAATGAAAGGTTAGCAACTTTGGCCTCCTAATTAGACTATAAGGTACATACCTGTTGCCTTAGGCTTCATCAACAGAAGATTATAATTAAGAAACTTCCTGAATACTGTTTTTTAATGGAATTAAGCCTGACTTTAGTTTAACTGTTTCCTAATAATTGCACTAGTTTGTTTTAATTAATGCTGGGAACAGTGCTGTCCTTCCTGACAAATCTATCATGATCTGACCTCTGATTACCTTCTTTAGCTTCAGACCCTGCCCTTATTCTTGCATTTTAGATCCTATAATTATGAGTTATTGCATATTGAATGTTTTCTATATGCCAGATATTTAATTCAGAGCTCTCAGCAGCTTTGTAGCCATTCTAAAATCCTATGAGATAGGAATTATCAGCCTTCCTTCTTTTCTTTTTGTTTTTTAACTCAAGGATTGAGTCTTCATCTTATAGATGAGTAAACTGCAGCTTTGCAAAGATGTGATTTCCCAAGGCCCCAGAGCTGATAATGAGGGAGGCAAGATTTAAATCTAGGCAATAATTCCAAGAATCCATGCTCTTTAAAGGCTGCATATAGTTTTCCAGTAAACTATGCTTTTCCCTCTGCCTGGAATATCTTCCTCAAAGTCATTTTACTAATGCATATGAATTCAAAACTCAGTTCAAATATCACTTCTACATCTTCTGATTTCCTTCCTAATAAAGATACTCCATTCCTGCCTATGCTGCTACTTAATCTAAAGCATCTTCCCTTGTAGTAATTATCCATCTATAACCTGCCCCTACTAATTTTTGACCACCTTGAGGGAAAGGATTGCTTCTTACTCATCTCTCAATTTTCAGTTCTTTACCCGGTGCCCTTTGTGCAGTGAACAAATGCTTATGCATTAAATTGAGTAGAAATTAACCAACTATTACTACTTTGCTCTCTCCTCTTTTCTGTCTTCCTAAAATGTTGCTTTTAAACTCTCTTCATCACTTTAAAGTTAAATTTCTCAAGGATTGTCTGTATTTAGTGCCCTCTCTTCACCTCCCAGACAGACCTGAAACAACTATTTATATTCAGAGTTAACCACCACCACTGTACCAAAACAGTTCAGACTAATGCCATCAATAACCTCTGTTGCTAAATCCAGTGGACACTTTCAGTTTTCATTTTACATGACTCTCAGTAGCATTTCACACTCTTGACCATGTTCCACTTAAAATAGTCTTCCTCCTGTTATTTAGACACCATGCTTCTCTTACTATTCTGGTATATACTTCTGTCTTTTCAGCCTATTCAGTATCCTTAAGTATTTAATATATGTTTTTCTCAGGTTCATTTCCTGGACATATTCTCTTCTAACTATACTCTCTCCCTAGGTGATCTCATCCATGCCATTGATTCCAATTTTGAAATATTTAGCTTAGAACTCTCAATTTTTATTTTTAATCCATAATCTCTTGTGGGATTTTGATCCTATTTCTATTTGAATTATCAAAGAGACCTCAAAGACAGAATGTCCAAAACTGAACTTCACCATCTACATAGTCAATTGCTCAAACCAGAAACTCACTAATTTAAGTTTAAGAGTAGATACATACAAACAACAAGCTAAACTCAATTCAGTTTTTTTGTTTTGTTTCTTTTTTCTTTTTTGGCAGCACTAGGCATCAAAACCAGCACCTTGTGCATGCTAGGCAAGCACTGTACCACTGAGCCATATCCATAACCCCCAGTTCAGTTACTTTTGCTTTGATTTATTGCTAAAGTAAGAAATCAGCTGTGTAAAAATTAAAATTGAGATAAGTAGGCAGCTAGGTAGACTCATCTTCTATTGGTTTTTTTTATGTCTAATTGGTTCTCTTGTGGCATGCCTAATGTATGATGGGCATAAGAACCACATCTAATAAAATACTCTCCAGATTGGAAGATTATTAAGGCAGAACACATTACCTTACATCAGTACCTATCAATGCACTCAGTGAGCCATAGTACCCAGATGTAATGGGCAGGCACTTCCTCATTGTTCCAGCACAAGGATAAGATCCCCTTATTAGTGGCCATTATGGTTTAGATATTAGATATCTCCAAAAAGCTCATGTGTGAGACAATGCAAGAAAGCTTAAAGGTGAAATGATCAGGTTATGAGAGCCTTAACCTAATCAGTGCATTAACTCACTTGAATGGATTAACTAGATGGTAACTCTAGGTAGGTAGGGTGTGGCTGAAGGAAGTGGGTTGATGGGGGTGTGCCTTTACCGTTTATATTTTGTTGTAAGGAGAGCTCTATCTCTGCTTCCTGGTGCCTGGTTCCTTGCTGCTTTCCTCCATCACACTCTTCTACCATGATTTTATACCTCACCTCAGGCCCCAAAGAATACATTTGGCTATCTATGGACTGAGAGCTCTCAAACTGTGAGCCAAAATAAACTTTTCCTCCTTAAAATTGTTCTTGTCAGGTCTTTTGGTCATAGTAATGAAAAAGCAAAATAAATCAGTGACTATACTACAAAGCCTAGAATTTTCCATTTATGACTACTTAAAGGCTATTGTGGTTTGGATATGAGTTGTTCCCTAAAAGCTCTTGTGTTAATGTAGGAATATTCAGAAGTGAAATGATTAGATTATGAGAGCTGCAACCTAATCAATCCATCTTAGTTTGAACAGACTGACTATAACTATGTGGTAACTATAGGCAGGTTGGGTATGGCTGGAGGAGCTGGTCACTGGTTGGTGTACCTTGGAAGGCTTCAACTTCCCTGAGGTTCCCCCCACACACAGCCATCATGAACAGAGTTTTCCTCCACAGTACCCTTCTGCTACGATGTTCTGCCCCAACTTGGAGTCAGCTGACCATACACTGGACCTCTGAAACCATGAGCCAAAATAAACTTTTCATTGTCTAAGTTGTTCTTGTCATGTATTTTTGTCACCGCAATGAAA